GAATGACAATTTTTTTTTATTAAAATATAAGAGGCTTAGAGCATCAAGTCCTTCCCCAGGACTAACCTACAGGGAAGAATAAGGTTCTTCCTTATCTCAAGGTTCAAGGGGCTTTATTGAGTTGCATTTGACCCGTAAGTCATGAATTACAGCTAGGGGGCTATGTTAGTTAAAGATCTGTTGTTATGGGAAATCCTGGTTACCCATCCTAGGCTAGAAAGAAAACATTTTTAATCCTTAGGGGGTGGAATACTACAATAAAGTCATTTTGCGACATTCAGAAATCTTAGTGGGCTATACAGGCTGGTCATCTGTGAGTTGGTAAGTTAATTAGAATGTTTTCTGTCAGAGACCTTTTAGGTTTTCTTCAAATTTATTCATCACTCACGACTAATTGCTACCTACTAATCTCCCTCAAGGACTTGAGACCCTAAAGTCTTTTAGAGAAGGGAAGTTGAATTTAGTCTTTGGCTAGTTCCTGCTGGTTTGGGGCACAGGTCAGAAGTCTCTTGCACTTGCTCTCTCAATGAGGACAGTTGGGATCCTAGGTCACAGATGATCTAGGGGACCCTTGAAGCAGGAGATTCTTTGGCGACTGTGATGAGGGGGTAGTTGCGTTTAAGGAGAGGCCATGGAGTAGAAATACCTGTTTAGCTTCCAAATCTCTCTTCTGTACTTGTATTTCTGTCTGTTCCCTGGAATCTGACTGATACAGCTGCAGATTCTTTTAGAGGTAAGTGAGGCAGGGTATGCATTGCTCTGCCCTGTCCCTGAGGAAATCTGGTAGGTTGGGTCTTGGAGTCTCCTCCTGGCCAAGTGATGGAGCTCTTTCCTGGCACCACTTCAGATTTCATGGTAATGATGTCTCCTATATAAGACCTTGGGATCTTCCATGGTCTCATGTTTTTCTTACATCCTACACATACATTGGAAATAGTTGCTATTTTCTCTGCCTACCACACCATCTGGGTTTGTGCTTCTCAGGACATCTTGTACACCAGAGGGCTCAGTGGCTGGCAGTAGGATCAGTTTTCTAAAACTTCATTTGGTCAATTCCTTCTCTCTTTCCTCACATAACCAATGGTAGGGTAAGGTGCCCCATGCCTTCCAGAGGTTCAAAAATATCATTGCTAATGAATAGTTTTACATCAAAGACTACTGTTTTGCTTTTAGATGTTTCTTGTGGTGTGGGAAAGTAGGCTTTTAAAACAACTTAGATTTTGTTTATTTACCCAAAGATTACATAGCATGTCCTAGGTCCCCATAAGCAGGGTAGGACATGGATTAGATTAGTACAAGAAAACATCTAGACTGAAGAAGAAGTTAAGTCTTTGACAGATAGCTCTGTTGTCTGTTTTTTCACTATTCTTTCATGATACAAATTCTCAGAAAGAGAAGATTGTCATGGGATGGAGTTCATCTATGGAAAATGTATTAACTGTTGTTTTTTCTATTCTTTCTTACTTAGTATATAAACATGTTGTTTTTCAAAGGCTTGAATTGGTGCACCTACAGCAGTATTTTCCTTTACAGGGACATATTCCTAGTTGTGCCAGGCATTGTCCATACCCAGCCTATCAACCAGGGTGATGATTTCTTCATCCAACTGACAATAAATTGAAGCACGCTCTAGTCCTTAACTTACTTACTCTAGTTTTTTAAAAAAGTTGATCTACATTGCTAACCACTTGTTCTTGTCCAAGTCTTCTGAGAAATAGTTGCCAAGAAAAGACTAACAGTGTCTTGCCTGACAAGGAAAATGAGAAGGGAACTAGAAGAAACTAGTTGAGCAAGAAGACTGTCAAGACTAATGGCAAAGCTGTCAGAGAATTATTGATCCCAGTACTATGGGAAAGTCTTGCACTTGTCATGAATAACCCTGCTTTAATCTTGCTGTTCTTTCTGTTGCTGCCTGTAGGAAGCCTGGCCTCAGATCAAATGTGGTATTTTACTTCAGCAGAGTAATATGTCACCCACACTTCCTGAAGTAGTGTATCTGAGAATTGCATCTTTATATCATCATAAAGAACATAACTACTAATGTATATTTCATTCAAAAGTTCCTTAAAAGACTCATTTTAAAGCACAAAATTAGAACTCCATAACAGGGTTTATTACATGGAAAATAAACTATTTTAACAAGAATAGAACAAAGGATGGGAGGAAATGGAAGCAAACTCTTATACCTTTGCTTATATAATGTACAAACTGTTGAAAATATTATTTCAAAATAAATTTTGATAAGACAAAGCCAGATATTGGCAATACTATCAGTACCAATAAGATGAGATACAGTTAATAAGCTAGCAAATGGTATACAACAAATACTAAAAAGTACAAAGAAATAAAGGAAAGCAGAAAAAGAAGGGAAAAATTATAGTTAAGACCAGACCAGATGGGGACAAATAGAAAATAAATAGCAATATGGTAATCTTAACTCAATAATTACATTAAATATAAATACTCTAAATATGCTTATTTAGGGATAGAAAAAGTTAAACAAGGTTATGGAAAAAATCAAAAGCTAAATACATTCAGTTTAAATGAATCACACGTTACCAGCAAAAACAGATTTTTAAAAAATTACAGAAAACAGTATGGAGATGCCTATAAAACTAAAAATAAAACTACCATATGATTTATAGAAACCCACTACTGGGTATCTATCCAAATGAAATGGTATTATTGTATCAAAGAGATGTTTATTACAAAACTATTCATAATAGCCAAGATATAGAGTTAACCAAGGTATCCATTAATAGATAAATGGATAAGAAAAATGTACTAGATGTACACATTGGAATATTAATCATTAAAATAACGCAACCCTGTTATTTGTGGCAAAGTGGATAGAATTAAAGGCTATTGTGTTAAGTGAAATAATCTTGTCACAGCAATACCACATGTTCTCACGTGAGAACATGTGGTATTTTGAAAGAAAGAAAGAAAGCCAATCTCATAGAAGAACAGAATAGAATAATGGGCACTAGAGACTGAGAAGGGCAATGGAACAGAAAGAGTTATACAAGAGCTCTCAAACAGTTAGATGGGAGGAATTTGTTTTAATTTTCTACAGTCTAGAAGTGTAATATTTTCCATATCTACATGTACTTATAAACTTTGTTAAATGGCAATTCCTTTGTACAACTACTTAAAGTTAATAAAAATATAATAATAAAAAGTTATACAAATCTATGATGCATCTCAGAATAGCAAGAAGTTCCCAGCATATAAAAAGGATAACATCCAAGGAGCTGAAAATATGAACAACCAGATTTAATTATTACACACTGTGAGTGTACACCTAATTATTATTTTAAATTCTAAAAATGAGTATATATATGTCCCAATTTAAAAAGTAAAACAAGAAAAGGATATTCTGTGCAAGAACTATCACAAGAGATCAAGAACAGTTCTATTAATTTCTGATACAGTAGACTTCAAGACAAGCAATATTAACAGAGATTATTAGAGACATTTCATAACAATTCAAACATCTAGTAATAGAAATCACATAGCAATTCCAAATGTGCACTGACTTTATGAGAGAACAAATGAAGCAAATAATGCCAGTAATGAATGGAACATGTAGAGAGAAAATCATTACTGACACAGAAGACTTGAACAATACTATCAACAACCATGAACAAACAGACATTTATAGAACATTTTACCCAAAACAAAAACCACAGATTTTTTCTCCACGTGTACAGGGTAAATCACTAAGCTACACCATATGCTGGAACATTAAACATATTTCAATAAAATCAAAAGTACTGAAAACACAAAAAATATGCTCTTTTATTACTGTGGAACTAAATTAGAAACTAAAAACAGATCTCTGCAAAAATCTCCAAATAAATGGAAAACAGAGTTCACACCTCTAGATAATCCAGATACTGAAAGAAAACCAGAGGGAAATTAAGAAATATTTCTGACCTAATAAAAGTGGGAATAAAATGCTGAGTATTGTATGATTTAGCTAAAATAGTTTTTGTAAGGAAATTCATAATTTTAGATATTTATATTATAGAAGAGAAGTTTAAAATTAGTAACATCTCATTCTACATCCCTACAAATAGAAAAGCCAATAGCCCAAAGCAAATGCAAGGAGGAAATGATAAAGATGAAGTACAAATTAATGAAATACAAAATCAACAACTAATAGAGAATATCAATGAAAACAATGTAGGCTTTTAAAGATTGATAAAATTGATTAAAAGTTCTAACTAAACTGCTCAAAAAGGTCTAAAACAAAAAGTTATAATAGAAGTCAAGAAAAAGGTCAGTCACTGCAGATTTTATAGAATTTAAAATGTATATTATTATAAAGAGGTTTCAGAGGGGTTACTGGTACATAAATTAGGTAAAGAGTACATTTCTTTTTGGACAATGTCACCCCTCCCCTCTCTTCCTCTCTGAGTTTTCCCCTCCCATTCCCACTTACAAGTTGTATTGTTCATTTTCAACATAGTTTCCAGTGAGTATCATTGCTGCATTTTTTCACCCGTTTACCCTCCATTTCTGTGTCTCCTCTTACACTCCCAAAGACATATACACAAACATAACAAAAAATAAAAACAGCAAAAAAGGAAAATCCTCTTGTTTTCATTTGTTGGAGTTCATTTTGATAACTATTATTTTGTATGATCAGATGCACATAGGCATTGCACCTTTATGTTCCTCTCCTAAGAGTTTCGTCTTTTGGTCTCACTGTATGTGAATGCGTAGAGTCTTGTCTAATTGTTCATGTCTCAGTGTATTTTAGATCTAGCTTCCGGATATAAGAGAAAATGTGCTGTTTGTCTTTCTGAGTGTGGCTTCCCTCACTTAAGATGAGTTATTCTAGGTCCATCCATTTACCTGAAAATGACATAATATTCTTTCTAATGGCTGTGTAAAATTCCATTGTGTATAGGTACCACATTTTTTGCATCCACTCATCTATTGTAGGGCATCTGAGCTGTTTCCACAACTTGGATATTGTGAATAGTGGAGCAATGAGCACGGATGTACAAGTGTCTTTATTATGGTATCCTGGCTTGTGATGTTCTGAGTAGATGCCCAGGAGTGGTGTGGCTAGGTAGTAGGGAAGATCTATGTTTACTTGTTTTGAAGAAGCTCCAAACTGCTGTCCCATCAATACTGCTATAGAGTTCCCTTTTCTCTACATCCCTGCCAAATTTGTTGTTGTTCGAACTCACAATTTTAGCCAATCTAAATAGAGTGAGATGGAATCTCAGAGTTATTTTGATTTGCATGGCCAGGGATGATGAGCATTTCCGTGTGTGTGTGTGTGTGTGTGTGTGTGTGTGTGTGTGTGTTTGCTATTCTTATTTCTTCTTCTGAGAAGTCTCTCCTTGGCTCCTGTGCCCTTTTAGTAATTGGTTTATGAGCTTTGGGCGGGGCTAGTTTCTTGAGCTTCTTGATATTTTGTATATTAGGCCTTTGATGTATTGCTGGTAAAGATCTCCAAATCTGTTAGCTGTCTTTCTAGTTTAGTAACTATGTCCTTTGCCATGCAGAAACTTTTTAATTTGATGCAGTCCATCTGTCAAGTCTTTATAGACTTAAAAAAATAAAAATATTGTTAATAATTATGCTAATTAAGTTGACCACTTAAATGAACTGGATAGTTCTTTGAAAGATACAAATTAATAAAATTTACAGACGAGGAAACAGAAACATTAAATAGTTTTATGTATTATAGAGATTGTTGTTGTTTTTTTCCAGAGAGGATCTATTATGTAGCCCAGGCTTGCCCGGAACTCATGACTCCCCCATCACATCCTCTTGAGTGCTAGGATTTGCAGCAATAAGTCCTATGCCCACAGGAATTTGTTCCTAAGGACCTTTGCAAAATAAATTCCAGTTCTTTAAAAATGTCATTAATGTTCAATCTTCTAAACCTTTCGTGTCAAAGTGTAGATTAAAAAGTGATCAAGAAGAAAATTAGAGTGCAAGAGTATACACACTTTGTTTAAAATCATTTCAGATCTTTCCCTTGAGTATACAGAAATATTCATCATGCTTGAAGTTCTCTTTTTGTGGGAGAGTTTCTGTCAATTTTATGGTCAATCAGGCCACATCTATGACTTGGGACTGTTTTTAACTATGCATACCTTTCTCACCCACTGTCCCTAGTTGTCTATTTAAAGCTAAGACAAATATCTGCATGATGACTGGAGACACACCAAAGTGCTGCCTTCCTATGGCTGCCATGTAATAAATCTTTCTTTGTCGTTCACCACATCTCTCTGTTTGAGGTATGGGGACATGGGAAACTTCTAAAGTTTGGGCTTGGGGTCGAAAAACCCAATGTCAATCAATCAAATGACTTCTTTCTTAATTTTATGCTCATTCTTAGACTCTAATTGAACTTACTTCAAATGAAAACATTTCCCCTGCCATTTTGTCTCTCTGAGCAAGTTGTTTGACTCTTTTTTTTTCTAAAATTGTGGTTTGTTCTTGGATTTTTTTTTTGTGGAACAGAAGGTATTATCTTCAGCTCCACCTACATGCTATTTGATAGCATACCAGACATGCTAGGTTGAATGCATATACCACCTGTACAAAAATTTTGAGTTGACATTCGTCTACACATGAATTTGCTATATATGTATCCCATATATTTAAGGTCAGTAATAAATAGCACAAGGAACTTGCTATATAGAGAGTCAAGATTTTGGGAAAGGTACAAGTTGCACCAAATGTACGTTAATCAAGAGTATTTGTTTCTTTGCTTCTTTCTGCTTAATTGGAGCCAGTCAACAGTAAAAAGACTTATAGAAACCCTGGCTCACTTGAAAAATCTTGATGAATTGAAAATTAAATTTCCATGGAAACCATCCTTGAAGTGGTAACACACACACACACACACACACACACACACACACACACACACACACACACACAATAACCCTGTAAAGCTCTTAGAAGCAAGCAAATATTTAAATTTAATGAACCCCTGAGATCTTCTTTGCCTTTGGTCTCAAGAAGAACTTGCCTTGTGGGGCTGATTTTAAGTTTTTGATAATTATCTGAGAGTTTCTATTTCTTAAGTGTGTGTAGTAAGATTGAGAATATGGGATTTAAAATTGAAATATGAGATTGAAAATATGAGAATTGAGGATATGAGATTTATTTGAATCTCTCTGAGATGTGGGGAGTTGTAAGTTGGCACATGAGACACCATCATTATTACTGAGAGTAAGCTGAGCAAGACCAAATCCATGTGCAAGTATGTAAAAGTACTGAAAATCATACACAAGTAGGATGTATGCAATGTTGTTATTTGAACCTGGTTGGAAGAAGATAGACTCTGTTTTATGGTTTTTGTAGTGTTTTTCAGAGTACTTTAGCTTTCATTCTGACCAAAAACATATATAAAGCATTTGCTAGCTAAGACTTGAATTCTTCCAAATAGATATTTATTTCTTGATTATAAAATTTGCTATCCTTCATATAAGAAAGTCTCATATAGAATTTAGAATGCAAATTGCTACCCAAAGTTTTATTAGTCCTTATAATAGTCTCAGCCAATGACATAGGCAGTATGATTTGTAATTTTCTAAATTTTCAGCCAGGTCTCTATCCTCCTGTTACATTCAGAATTTTCTTCCTCCATGCCAGTGGTTTGAGTTAAAAGATTGCATTTCAAGGTCAGGGCAAAAGATGTGACTACTTGTGTGGTTTTATATTAAGCCATGAATAACTGATCTCATTGAGCAATGCTTCAAGTCTTTTTTGATTACTTGCTCCAAAAAAGTATTTGTTTTTAATTGTCAATATTAAACTGCGTGAACAGGCAAGAGTTTATTTTAGAACTTGAAGAATTTGAATAATTCTTTGATGTGGATGAAATAATGAATTTCCCTCTTTGATGTCTGATACTCTAGTTTGACCTTTCTTGTCTCTAACAGTCTCCATTTTCCTTTAAAATTACTTGTGTTTATGAATGAAGAATCTTATCCTTGCAATTAAAAGAACCGCTTCAGAGAATTCATTATCACTCATGGAGAGGTAGTGTAGCCAGTAATTAAGACTATGAACATTAGAGTTGGATAGACCACAGTTGACTCAAAATTAGCTTTTTGAACTCCCCACTTAGTAAATAATTTAAAGATTGATAGGTAACATCATGTATATTTGTTGAGCCGGGGTGCTGTCCCTCAGCTCTTCAGCTCAAGGCTAGCGCTCTACCACTTGAGCCACAGTGCCACTTGCAGCTTTTTTTTTTTTTTTTTGCTTATATGGTGCTGAGGCATCAAACCCAGGGCCTCATGCATGCAAGGCAAGCGCTCTACCACTGAGCCACCTTCCCAGCCCCGCTAGTAAGAATTATTTTACCACACAGTGCTTCATTTTTAATCATGCTTAAAATGTTGCAACTTAAAGGTTAAAAACAGGTCATTAAAGCCATGTAAAGCTTATCAAAAGTACATGGAATCTCTTCTCTGCCAGAGACAGACTCTGGGGCAATGGTCCCATGGGTGCCTCTGTAACATGCCTACTAAGATCTCTAACAAAAGATCTTCAGTTCCCCACCATCCATGGTTCTAGAAAGGGATGCCGTCCCTTCCCTGGAAACTGTACAGGAACTTCAGGAGGCAACCAGAAATCGCGTTGTGCAGGACTAAATAAACTAGCACAATTGACTCTGAAAGTGGAGAAGCAGAATCAGAGTGGTCTGAGCTCCAAGTTGCCCATTTCTTTCCTTTAGATTCATTTCCATCTTCAAGAAAGACACGTATTAAGGGCAGTAGAGAACAGCAGTGTAGTTCAGGCTGAAGTAGTGAGTGCCTGCATCACCAACTGTGTGCTTCATTAGAGTAGTTGCATCCCAGCAGTTGTAAGAATACGTAACCCCAGTTAGTGCCATAGCCCATACGTGTCTCTTTTCTTCTTCTTCTATCCCATAACTTCCATGAACTTCCAGGGTGTGTAGCCAGTGAAGTTGACTCTTTTCTCTTCCCTTCATAGACCCTCCTAGAGGAGAATGGCTGCAGAAAACTCTTCCTCTGTGACAGAGTTCACCCTTTCAGGCTTAAGAGATCAGTCAAGACTCCAGATGCCGCTCTTCTTCCTGTTTCTAAGTTTCTATGTGGTCACTGTGGTGGGGAACTTGGGCCTAATAGCTTTGATTGGGTTGAACTCTCACCTACAGATTCCAATGGACATCTTCCTTTTCAACCTGTCTTTCATAGATTTCAGTTACTCCACTACCATCACCCCTAAAATACTCATAGGTTTTGTCTTAAAGAAGAACATAATTTCCTATGCTGAGTGTATAACTCAATTCTTTTTCTCCTGTTTCTTTGTCTTTTCTGAATCCTACATCCTATCAGCAATGGCTTATGATCGTTATATGGCCATCTGTAAACCACTGTTGTACAAGGTTATTAGGTCTCCCCAAATGTGTTTCTTCCTTTTGGCTGGCATCTATGGGATGGGAGTTTTGGGGGCTGTAGCCCACTTGAGAACTATACTGTTTGTAACCTTTCATGCAGATAGCCTGATCAATATGTGTGACATGATTCCCCTCCTTGAACTAGCCTGTAATAGCTCTTACATACATCTACTGGTGGTCTTTATTGTTGTGACCGTTGACATTGGTATCACCATTGTTACTATTTTTATTTCTTATGGTTTTATCCTTTCCAACATTCTCCACATTAGCTTATCTGCTGGCAGGTCCAAAAAAAGCCTTCAGAACCTGCAGTTCCCATATTATTGTGGTATCTCTTTTCTTTGGGTCAGGAGCTTTTATATACTTCAAACCACCTTCTATTTTGCTGCTGGACCAGGGAAAAGTGGTAGCCATGTTCAACCCATTAATCTATAGCCTGAAGAATAAGGATGTCAAAATTGCCCTGAAGAAAACCTTAAGTAGAAATGTCTTTTCTTGAAAGTGATTGAGAAGAAGAATATAAAACTTGATCAGAATTTTCTTTATTTCTATTTTCAGTGAAGGAAGCCAAATTCAATGCTATCTACTCTCTACTGAGACTTTTTAGTTTTTTTTGCTCAGACTAGTTTTTTTTAACTAAATATGTTTCTTATTGTAAAGGTTCTATACAGAGGGGTTACAGTTATATGAGTAATGAGTACATTTCCTTTCGAGCATTGTTACCCTCTCCTTTGTTTTTCCCCTGCCATCCCTTCCCTCCCCATCTCCCCACCTCCTCCTTCCCCCACAAGTTGTAAAGTTCTTTTTCAACATAGTGTCTTGTACATTTCATTGCTACAATGGTCAACCTGTATCCTTATTCAGCATTTTGTTATTTCCCTCCCCTCCCCAAATTAGAAAAATGTATATACAAGATACTGGGCACCAGAATCAAATACCATGAAAACGGGTTATACCATGGGGAAAGAACATACAAAAGAAACAAAAAAATCACAAAGAACATTGTAAGTACATTAAAAACAGCAGCAAGAAAGATAAAACCTCTTGTGTTTTGAACCTCTTGGGGTTCATTTCACTTAGCATCATCTTATATGGTTATATGTGCAAAGCTTTTGACCTGTTCTGCTTGTCCTAAACATACACTAGTTATTGCAAATAAGGGAAACAATGGGACTATGTTTCTTTGGGCCTGGCTTACTTCACTTAATATAATTTTTTCCAAGTCTTTCCATTTCCTAACAAATGGGGCAATGTCATTCTTTCTGATAGAGACATAGATTTCCATTATATATATCACATTTTCTTGATCCATTCATCTACTGAGGGGCATCTGGGTTGGTTCCATATCTTAGTTATGGTGAATAATGCTGCAATAAACATAGTTGTGCTGGTAGCTTTAGTATGGCCTTGTTTGTGATCATTTGAATAAATGCCCAAAAGTGGGATTGCTGGGTCATAGGGGAGCTCTACGTGTGGTCTTTTGAGGAACCTCCATACTTCTTTCCAGAGTTTACATTCCCACCAACAGTGCAGTAGGATTCCATTTTGGCCACATCCCCTCTACATCTGTTGTTATTAGATTTCTAACTGGGGTGAAGTGAAATCTCAGTGTTTTGATGTGCATTTCTTTTATGGCCAGAGAAAAGTCGAGCATTTCTTCATGTGTCTATTGGCCATTCTTATTTCTTCTTCAGAGAAGTCTAAGTCTTTAGCCTACTTATTAATGGGGCAGTTGTTTCTTTGAGGATTTGTTGTTGGGGGATTTAATTTTTTAAGTTCCAGGCATATTTTAGTTTTCAGGATGTCTGCTTTTACTTCAGGGTCTTTGAGAAGAAAATCTTAAATCTTGTTCCAGGTTGTTAGCCCAATAGCCTCCTCTTAGCATGCTCCTTTTCTAGCAAACACTAGGCTCATTTAGTAAAGGTAGTAAATAATTAGCCTCCTCTCCCCTTTTCCTTGAGATGGCACTCCTTTAAGACTGCTATAACCATATAAGGCAGAAAAATCCTCTAAACGTCTCTTGTGAGATGCTGTCTTGCCAGTCCTTTGCTGATAATAAACCTTTCCTTTGTTCTTTGTACCTGGATGTCTCCATGGTTTTCAAGTCTAATTTACTCTAACATGGGTCCCTGAATTTCATCCAGTTTACTGTGCTTCCTTTTATTTCTGATTTCTTGTTGCATTTTTTTTCTCATGGCCAATTTCACTTCTTTTTTTTTTCATTTTATTTTTTTGTGAACATACTGTACAGAGAGGTTACAATTGCATGGCCAGGATAATGTGTACATTTCTTATAAGTTTATTGTTATTTGTTGTTGTTTTTGACTTTTAAAGAAGTCTAATTCTATTCACAGTGATGCCATATGACTTTTCATGGGTTAATTTTTGGAAGATCACATTTGGAAGAGTATTGGAGGTGAAAAATTTGGTTGAATCATGGAACTTTGGGAATAATTTTTAGCATGTGTCTATATGCATATGAGATATGATTTGCTTTGTTGATCCATAGAAATATGATGTACAAGTAATTCCTGTAATGGTTAGATGTTGATCAAAAGTAGATGATTTGTCTTTAACTGGTGCCTATTGTTCCATACCCAGGAGGTAAAATAGTGGGATAATTCTTTCTTTTTTAATTTATTGAACTTTTATTCAAAACACTGATTTTTTTCACACAATAAATACAACTCATCCAAAAGAAGATTTACTTTTCAATTTGTTTTCATACTACATTAAAATGTGAGTTAACATTTAAAAAAACAATGTTTATAATACAACGTTAGCAGTAAAGAATACTCATCAAAGCGAAGTGTACGCATTTGCATTTTTACATTATAGAAGTACAACTTATTCTGTCTCAATACATTGATTCTCTCAAAATATAATAAACTTGTTAAAGATTGAAATGGATTTGTAAGTATCGTGCTATCCAACATGTTCTGTGTAAAATCTAAAAACCCAAGAATTGTTTGTGATGTAATACATGAAATTTAGTTTACTATATCAGTGTGTCACTGACATTCCTTCTAGGAGACCAAAGTGAGAGAGTGTGTGATGTGCTCCCTTTTCTTGTGGAGGGTAGGCCTAAAAATTTATTTCTGCTTGTGCCTGGGTTTATAAAATTTATATGTGGAGTTAGAAGGAATTAGCAAGTTGTGTGTTTGCAGATCTCAGCTCTTCCTTCCAACCTGCTTTATCCACAGTAAAATCTGATCTTTTTTTTTTTGGGGGGGGGGGGGTCCGGTCATGGGACCTTAACTCTGGGCCTGGGCGCTGTTCTTCAGCTTTTCAGCTCAAGGCTAGCGCTCTACCACTTGAGCTACAGCACCACTTCTGGCTTTTTTTTCTGCTTATGTGGTGCTGAGGAATCAAACCCAGGGCCTCATGCATGCAAGGCAAGTGCTCTACCACTGAGCCACCTTCCCAGCCCAAAATCTGATCTTTTGATCCTCTTATATCTGGCTTCTGTGTTTTATTTCACACACTGCTAAGGAAGACTGACTGTCATTCCCATAATAAGTCCTTGCTCAACAGTTTTTTCTCTGTCCTTTTACATATCAACTGATTCATCCATTACTATCACCTGCCTCTTCCCAAGGAAGAAGGCTTTACTGGGACCCAGTAAAGCCCCCAGTTTTGTTTTCACTGATGCATTCTTCTTCCTGGAATGACATGCCTTCATTTCTACAGGTTAGCTTCTAATCATCTTTCAGGACACATAGCAATTAGTTACCAGCATTAAATTTGACCTCATGTTTCCAAGGTCACAATTTAGAATGGGACTTGGTTTCAAGGTGAAAATGTGGACTCAAGTAAATATATAATAAATAAACTATCATAAAAACAAAAATACATCGTACATGAAAACCAATGTGTGTGTGTGTGTGTGTGTGTGTGTGTGCGTGTGCATGCACGTGTGCCTGCCTGTCTGCCTGCCTGCCTGTCCTGGGTCTCAAATTTGGGGTGTGGAAGCTATCCCTGAGCTTTTTTTCTTCTCAAAGCTAGTGCTCTACCACTTATGCCACAGGCCCACTTCCAGCTTTGCAGTGGTTCATTGAAGATAGGAGTCTCACTATGGATGTTGCTGCCCAGGTTAGCTTTGAACTGCAATCCTCAGATCTCAGCCTCCTGCGTGGGTAGGATTACAGATACTAGCCACTAGTGCCAGGCTGAAAACAATATTTTTTAGCAATTAAAATTATGTCCATGGGCTAGGAAGGGGCTCAGTGGTAGAGTGCTTGCCTTGGATGCATGAGGCCCTGGGTTCAATTCCTCAGCACCACATAAGCAGAAAAAACCAGAAGTGGCACTGTGGCTCAAGTGGTAGAGCACTAGCCTTGAGCTGAAGAACTGAGGGACAGTGCCCAGGCCCAGAGTTCAGGCCTCACTACCGACAAAATTAATTAGGTCCATAATTTTATAACATGGACAATAAGCTATATATAACATGGACAATAAGCTATATATTGATTACTTAAAAAATCCCATGGAAATATTTGTAAAACATAGTCCATGAAAAATAGACCTTAGGGATAACATTGACCACTTATATTGCCAAGAACATTTATGTTAGTTATACATTAAATTATTAATGAGTTTTAAATTATTAATGAGTTTTAACAAGGTGAGGGGTTAACTGATAGAGTGTTATTTATAAATTTGCACAGAAGATATTCTGTGAATGCATTTATTCAGTATACAGCTGATTTCTCTCAGTCTCTCTTTGTTTTTTGTTTGTCATTTTGGTGATACTGGGGTTTGGACTCAAGGTATTTGAACTTATGAGACAAGCATTGTCTTCCTTTCAGTCCCCAATAAAAACTAATTTGATGATGAAATAGTTGATTTCTAGGTATTTCATTGAAAAAAAATATGGGGGGCAGGAGGCCTGGTATTGTTGTAGAGCACCAGCCAATGAGTGAAAGCAAATGTCAGTATTGAGTTCAAGTTGTGATTAAAAAAGAAGAATGCAAAAAAAAAAAGAATTATGGGTATGATAAGTAATCCAAGTTAAGGTTTTGTTTTTACATATTTAACCTCTTTTTACATTTTAACTTCTTGTTTGGTCTTCAGGATGTATATTCAAACAAAGGTTTAAAATCATGGATTGCAATTCAAAAGTGGACCATGGCAACAACTCATCAGAGGAAAACTATTAGGAAAAAGCCAAGGATGTTTGATACATAAGTAAGGGGAAGTCTGAAACTATGAACTTGAGTGAACCAGGGACGACTCCAGCCCCAGCCCCTTGCGGTGCATCCCTGTGTGTGACAGTAGGCTGGGCATCTGAGAACCTGTGCTCCTTAGTTTTATCTGCAAAAGACACCGTGTTGCTGCCTGTGGGCAGCAGAGCCATCATTGTGGAGTGCAGGACAGGCAGAGTAAGGATAGGCAAGCTTCAGGTAGCTGTCCCTGTGCTAAAAGCAGGAGAAATTTGTCAGGACACAGCTAAACCATGAATAATTACAGGGAGTCTTGCATTTTGAATAGGTCCTTATG